CAAAGTCATTTCCTAGTCCTGGGGGGCACTATAGGCTACAAGTCATCTTAAAAGAAGCATGCGTTATTCGACATTCCAAAGGACGAAGCTCTGTTTGCGCGGTGGCGGAGAGCGATCCCGCAAGCTGACAAGCTGCTTCAAGAAGACTGGGCTGTGTGAGAGCTGCACTTCGACGAGAGGGGCATCTCCCGGCAATTCGAGCACACTGTGAATGGCAGAATTGCCCGCATTGAAAGGGGTAGGCCCGTAGGCGTGGTTGCCGTTCAGGGAGGAGGGGGGGAGTAGGGTGCGAAGGTTTATTGCAGGGCGCCTTCTCCCTATTAAATCAGTGTATGAGGCAGATTTCGTGCCCCCCTTTTAGATGGCTTAAAGAGTGCCCCGCCGCCTAGTCAATGTATAGAGCAGATTTAGCCCCCCCCCCCCCCCTCATGGTGACTAGGGGGGGGGGCACCTGCCCCCTTTGCACCCCTCATCCGGACGCATATGGGTCAGCCTTTCGGAGGAGCTCTTTGCATTGTAGAAGCCCTTGAAATCACTTTTTTAAAGTGGTTCAGCTTCAATGAGCTTCACAGTGACAGCTTGGAAGAGCTTGTTTTCTGCTTGAAACAAAAAAAATGTCACACTGGGCTGCACACAAATTGACCCGAGGCTCACCAATCAAGTGACCAATTTTTTTCTGCTCACCTATTTGCGTTTTTACACACAGGCACTGCACAAAATGCAAGCATCTTCCTGTGAAAAGAGGAAGTACCTGAAACTCCGGCGCATCAGTTAGGCTTGAAGCCCAATGTTCTGTGGGGCGCTTGTGAACTAGAAAACTTTTTTTCTTGGGGATTAAAAAAGACGCACGACCCATTATTAATAATGCATTGTTGTAAGCGAATCACTACTCGGAAATGTGTTGTATGACCTGTCTGCAGAAAATAAATTTTTTAATTCAGATACCGCTCGTGATTCTCGTCTCTGAGTTTGGCATTACAAATGATGGGGCTTTTTTTTCAGATTAGTGCTTGAGGAAATGATGGTTCGCCAATGAAGTTGCTGCAACCAATGGCTCACAACTTAGTTCATTGTTCCTATCGTCTACCACTTCTCATCGATAAAGTGCTTCAGTGCCATGTGGCTCTCTCTTTCGGCACTCTGTCGATATTTCAGTTCAGTCACTCACCCACGTAGGCATTCTGTAATTCCAGAAGCTAATTAACATATTGTCTCGGTCGCCATTTGAAGCCATGCACGAGCAACAAAATATATTTTAAATGTTTCACATTGCCCGCGCGCGTGGTTGATTCCCGTCTCTGCGCAGCGCATCGCCGCCTTAGGTGACGTGGATGGATGGATTGATGTGGCGGTGCCCTTTAGATCGGGTGGCGGCTAACGCCACCTAGCCTTAATATTTAGTGAACCAACAACTAGATTTATCTTTTTTTTTTCCCTTTTTAATAGTGAAGTTGAAGACTGGTACTTTGCAGTGAAGGGTTTAATTTTAACTCGTGCCTTGACTTTAGCAACATCAATCAGATAACCTCCTTCTAGTTAATTCTACCCGCTTAAAGTCTATTTTGCCCTCCCTGTCCCTAAACCCCAGTGCTTTGAAAAGCTCTCTGCCTTCATCCTGAACTGTAGGATGAAGCCCTCTACAGAACATTATCAAGTGTTCGGCACTTTCCTCTTCCTCTCCACACGCACTGCATAGCGTGTCTACCCCTTCGTATTTGGCCCGATATGTCTTGGTTCGCAATACTTCCGTCCTGGCCTCAAACAGTAGAAAACTACCCCGAGTATTATTATAGATCCTTTCCTTGGCAATTTCCAGCTTGAGAATTTGATAGATCTCTAGTGCGGACTTCTTAATCATGCCAATTTTCCACATGTCGGTGTCCGTTTCCTTGACCTTCTTCTTAACCGATAGTTCTTTTTGGTTTGGCCCTGTGCTGTTTTCCAAGTATTTACCCATCACTTTTTTGGTTTGCTTCCTCATTTTGTATCGACATTCTTTATGTATAAATAGCTAAAAACCTTCCTAGCCCAGCGCTCCTCTCCCATTTTCTCAAATTTTATCTTGCTGCTAGCTTTCCTGCCCTCAAATGATGTCCATCCCATATCACCTTGTGCTCTCTGATTTGATGTATTCCCGTGAGCTCCTAAAGCAAGCCTACCTATTCGACGTTGCTTAATTTCTAATCTTGCTTAAACTTCTGATCATGCCCAAGACCGCATTGCCAACGTCAGACTAGGAACCATGATTCCTTTCCATATTCCTCTGTTAACATCATACCTATTGTAATTCCACAGTGCCCTGTTTTTCATCACTGCTGCATTCCTGTTACCTTTAGTTGTTATGTATATTTCGTGTTCCCTTAGGTACTCGGTCCCATTGCTTATCCATATGCCCAGATATTTGTATTTATCTGTTATTTCTAGCGTGACCTCCTGTATCCTAAGCTCACTATCTTCATTATTATTAAAAATCATGACTGCTGATTTTTCCTTACTGAATCTGAAATCTAACCTATCTCCTTTATCACCGCAGATGTCCATCAATCTCTGCAAGTTTTCCTTGTTCTTGGCCATTAGCACTATATCATCTGCATACATCAATGCTGGTAGTGCCTGTTCAATGAGTTTTCCTTGTTTGACGAAAGAGAGGTTGAAGCCAAGTCCACTTCCCTCTAATTTGGCCTCTAATCCTTGTAGGTACATCATGAATAACAAAAGTGACAGAGGGCACCCCTTCCTAATCCCCGTTTTACCTCTGTGGGCTTGGATACCTGTTTTTCCCACTTTATAACTACCTTGTTACTTTTATAGATATCCTTTAAAAGATTAGTGACTCCATCTTCCACACTTGGTGTGTCTAGTATTCCCCAAAAGTCCTCTTAAACCATGCTATCGTACGCTCTCTTGATATCCAAAAATGCCAGCCACAGGGGCCTGGGTTGTTTTTCTGCTATTTCTATGCACTGCGTCAGTGAGAACAGATTGTCTTCCAACCTCCTGTGTTTCCGAAACCCTTTCTGTAATTCTCCAGCACCCCCTCATCCTCTATCCATGCCTGCAGTTTTTCCTTTATAATCTGCATCACCAGCCTGTAGACCACTGATGTCACTGTTATAGGACGGTAGTTGTTTATGTCAGCTTTGTCCCCCTTTCCTTTATAGATCATGCCCATCCTGCTAAGTTTCCATCCATGGGGACTTCACCATCGATTATTGTTTTGCTCACTGCCTCTCTGATGTCTAGTTCACACTGAAACATCCGCTTTCTACAGCGACCGAAATTCCCCTGCCGCCGAAACACAGCGTCGTTCGCACTGGACGCGCCCCGCGCCGCCGAATATGCCATCTACTATGGGGCGAACGCGGGATGGATGCGCTGTCACCCGGTCGTTGTCGCGGCTCGCAAACACTACTACGCTATCCGGTGGTGTATACTTCGACGATTCTCGTACGCAAGAAGCAAGAAAAGACAGTACTGCTTACTTTGCTGGCAAGTGGCTGTCTTGTAATGCACAAAAAGCAGAAAAACCACCGACGCCAGCGGCGTTGGTGAGTTCGTTTTGCTCTGCAAGACCGCAACAAGCTCGGTCACGCCAACAGCAAGCTCGGTCACCTCTTTCACGAAATACGGAGGCGAAGTAGGCACTGAGTAGGTTAAACTTCCATTGGTTTCAACATTCAGTTACGTGCACTGCGGCATAACAAGTGAGTAGGGCTTGGCCACCATTTTTCAAAATTCCTTGACTAGCGCTCCTATTGGTCCGCGGTGACCGATTCGGCGGCAGACGCCGCAAAAATCGGTCCGAGAGCGATCGGTGTGGAGAGGGCCCTTTTGGCAAATCTCGCCGCCGCCGAACCGGATTCGGAGCACTTTCGGCGGCCGGAATGCTCAGTGTGAACGCGGCCTGAAAGTCTGCTTAGACTTCGCACCCTATGTCTTTATTGTTATGTTTCTATGTGTCGCGATTATGAGAATGAGGCGCGACAGAAATGAGTGATGTCGAACGCCATGCTGAGCGAGCGAGGACTGGCCTACCCCGTGGTGGGAGTGGCGTTTATTAAGCAAGTTGAATCAAGTTGTAGAGGGGTGCCAGTGACTACATAACACGCCGCCACACATGAACAAAAACAAAAATGAGAAAATGAAAATTTGACCACAGAAGGAATATTGAAGGGATTCTCACTGGCCTTCTCGAGCGTGTCTTCTTTATAAAAATTTTGTGGTGGTACCATTCGGGTGTCTGAAGGACGGTCAGGGAGAGAACTCGGCTGTGGGGTGTGGTGGGGCACATTTTCTTTGGTTGTTTGAAGAGGATAGTAGTCTTCAGGTGTTGACTGGTGGTCACTCGGGGAGTGCCGCACTCGCAAATGGTGTCGGTTGCGCACGTACACTTGACCATTGGCTGCTGTAACGATGTATCTCCGTGGCTCTGGGCCTACCTGTGTTACGACTGCTTTCTCCCATTTCTTTCCTTGCCAAAACCACACTGGCGTATTCTTGGTTAAGGAGGGAAGCTGACGAGCATGCTAGTCTGCATGCTTATGCTGTGCCTGCTTCCTTGACTGAAGGTTTCTTTGGCGCACCGAGTGTGGATAGTGCGGTAACAACGTGCTGGGATGAGCTGGTATAAATGTTCTTCTACTTCTTCCCATAAGCATCTCTGCCGGAGAAAGAAGGCCATTCATTGGAGTAACTCTGTGGTTCAATAGCACCACTGCGAGTTCCTTGCCTTCACATAGTGCTTTTGTCATTGATGCCTTAATGGTTTGGATTGTTCTTTCTACTTGCCCATTTGCACAAGGAAAAAGAGGTGATGTGGGCTTGTGAACGATGTCCCATTCCTTGTTGAAGTTTCTAAAGTCGGGTGAATCAAATGGAGGACCTTGATCGCCCATGACCTCTGAGGGTATGCCGAAACGCGCATAGATATCCTTCAGCACTGTGATGACTGATGAGGCTGATGTTGTATGCATTTTCTTGACCACAACGTACTTAGAGTACTAATCCACTAGAAGCAAGTATGTCAAGCCATTGTGGTGGGAGAAGTCCACAGCCACTTTTTCCCAAGATCGTGCTGGTAGTTCTCTGTCGAGGAGTGGCTCTCGTTGGTTAGCCCGCTGATGGCGCTGGCAGACCTCGCAGTTGGTTATCATCTGCTCAATGTCCTGGCTTATTCCAGGCCAGTAGACACTCTGGCAAGCTGTGTTCTTACAAGATACAATGCCTCGGTGGGTGAGGTGCAGCCTTGAGACCACTTCTTTTTGACATGCCGTTGGCACAACAAGTCTTTCACCATAACACAGAAAGCCATCGGTTGCATAAAGTTCACCTCTGATTGAGTAGTAGGGCTTCACTGCTGTTGGGAACTTTTGAGATCTCGTTGGGCCAGCCTTTCTGGATGTACGACACTACACACTGGAGTGTGCTATCAGCGGCTGTGCAGGTTCTTATCCTTGCTAGCTTCGGAGTTGACGCTTGCACCAATGTACAGGCTAGAACCTGATACTCCTGGTCTGATGTCTTGATTGTCTCTGCTGGATCATCTGCACGAGACAGGGCGTCTGCAGCAGTCAAATGTTTACCTGGCAAATACACCAACTTCACGCTGTAGCGTTAAAGTCAAAGTAGTAGGCGTTGTAGCCTGGGTAAGACCTTGTGGAGGTCCTTGGACTGAAGACCAATAAGAGGTTTGTGGTCAGTGTCAATGACAATGCTGCGACCATAGATACAATAGCTTTCTCAATTTGCGCACAGCGCTGTTGTGCTGGTGTGAGTGCTGTGGATGCATAGGCAACTGGGTGTCCGTGCTGAAGGAGGACACTGCCCATTCCATAGGAGCTTGCGTCAGTGGATATGACAATAGACTGTGCCGGGTCAAAGTAGTGCAAGACTAGTGCTGTTGTCAGTTTGCTCTTGATGTCATTGAATGCATCGGTCATCTTTTGCGTCCAGTGTCGTGCAACATCAGATTTGAGAAATTTTCGAAGGGGCTGTGTCTTCGCAGAAAAATTTGGGACAAACTTCATTAGGTAAGTCGCCATGCCGAAGAAGCGAAGAAGCTCCGCTTTGCAGGTTGGTGCTGGTATAGCGTTGATAGCCTTCACTTTGCTGGGATCAGGAGTGACGCCTTGTTGTGTCAGCTGATGTCCTGGGTAGGTGACTGTTGGTAAACCCAGCTTGGGCTTGTTATAATTCAGCTTGAGGTTGTTAGCTCGTGCTATGCTGAGCACTTTACGCAAGTGAACAACATGTTCATCAAGTGTTTTGGATGCAACCAAAATGTCGTCAAAGTATGGTGCTACAAGAGCTTGACGTTCAAAAATACTGTCAATGGCCTGCTGAAAAAGTTCAGGGACAATGTTGAGGCCAAATGGTACACACAGGAACCTGTAGCGTCCCCATGGTGTGGCAAATGTACACAAGTACGAGCGGCTCTCGTCAAGCGCTAGCTGCCAAAATGCATTCTTGGCATCCAGAACTGAAAACACAGTACACCCACTGAGTCGTGCAAAGAGTTCTTCAGCAACAGAAATGCGATAGTGGTGTCGCTTCACTGCCACGTTCAAGTTCCTGGGGTCTAGACATATCCGCACACTTCCGTCTTTTTTAGTAATAATAACAATGGGATGCACCCAGTCCGTCGGTTCTGTTACACGCTTGATAATGGAATTTTGTTCCATACGTTCAAGTTCGGCTTTGACTGTCTTTTCAAGTGCACATGGCACACGACGAGGGGCTGCAACTGTAGGCTTTGCATCTTGCTGTAGGTGAATGCTGTACTCTCCTGGGAGTCTGCCAATGCCTTCGAATACGTCAGAAAATTCTTGAAGTACTGCTTCAAGCTGCCGAGGAGGACAAGCCTCTCCTACTGCTTCAACGTTCCTAAATCTGTGCACCATGTTTAGTTCTGTGCATGCAGCTGCTCCCAATATTGGCTTGAGACTTCCTTTAACCAGCAAAAATTTGACAAGGCTTTGCTTGTTTTTCACCGAACAAGAGAGCTGACATTCGTTTTGAATGTTGAGCTGCTCACCTAGGTACGTGGTGACCTTGGCATTCGTAGCTTTCACTGTTGGTTGCAGGTTCCAGTTTATTACTAGCTGCTCTGGGAGAATGTTGACATCTGAACCCGTGTCCAATTTGAAGTTAACGAGACGACCATTCACTTCGACACACTCGAACCAGTCAGACGCTGCACTTTCCATGATGTCCACTGTGAGGTTTCGTAAAAATAACTCCTGTTCGGAGTCGTCCCCTTGGTCGTAGAGAACGTGAACTTTTTTCTGTATTGTCCGTTGTTTCTGACGGCAAACACTCGCGAAGTGTCCGATCTTTCCACACTTGTAACATGTTGAGCCGTAGGCGGGACATTGTCGGGGTTGATGCACCGTTCCGCACCTGCCGCACGTACGCTGAGCTGCTGTTTCTGTGGGCTGCCTGTTCTTTAGATGATACGCTGGTTGCCTTTTCGTGTGATGCTTGTCAGGTTGTCGAAATTGCTTGCCTTTTTTGCTCAATCTGGCCACAGTTGCTTCTTGTTCATGTGAAGTCGTTGCTAGCGAGGTCACATGCTGCTTTGAGATTTCCGCCGATCTACACGTAGCGATGATTTTCTCCAGTGTCAAGTCTTTCTCGCGGAACCTTTCTCGAAGTGCTGCGTCTCGGATGCCGACGATAATCCTGTCGCCTAAGAGGCGGTCATGCTTGTCACCGAAGTCACACATTACCGCTTGATGCTGAAGTTCAGCAATGAAATCGTCAATTGGCTGGTTCTCTTTCTGGCACATGGTGTTGAATATGGCTGTCGCTTGCGTCACGTTTTTGTAGGGAAGGTATCTCTCGTCGAATCGCTCAAATATTGCTGCCACCATGTCAGTTCTCTGCTCACCTTCAGCTGGCAACGGAAAACGGAAGGTTTCAACGATTTTCCAAGCTGTTGGGCCCATAACGTGAAGTAGCAGTGCTCGCCCTGGTGCTTCTGGCTTTGTGTTGTATTCGCAGGCTGCTTCGTAAAGCTGATACACCGATTTCCATTCCGACCAAGCTTCCGCGGGATTGCTGCCCAGCTCAAACTGCTTTGAAGGTGAGATGAGTGGAAGGGCCATGCTTACTATCGTTGCGTTAGTTCACTTCTGACACCATGTTGTTTCGATGTGTCGCGATTATGAGAATGGGGCGCGACAGAAATGAGTGACGACGAACGCCAAGTTGAGCGAGCGAAGACTGGCCTGCCCCGTGGTAGGAGCGGCGTTTATTGAACAAGTTGAATCAAGCTGTAGGGGGGCGCTAGTGACTACATAACATTTATCAGCATAATTGGTATGCCATCTGGGCCTGTTGATGTACTACTTTAAATCTTCTCGGCCCTTTCCCACTCTCGTGAAAATGGAGCCATTGCGCCACTTGATCCATCCTTGTCTATTATGGTGTATAAGGCACTTCTTTGTTGAAATTTTTCTGTCACCCTTGTTCTTATATATTCAATAGCTTTGTCTCCTTCTCGCCTAGCACCTTGAGCTGTAGTGATAAACCTCTGCTATAGGCTTCTCTCATTTCTTAGGGAGTTTAGATGATTCCAAAATTTCGCAGCTGCCTTTTTATCCTTTTTATGTACTTTTGCCAGCCACTGAGCCCCCTTTCTTATAATCTTTTCATTGATCAGAAGGGATGCTTCCCTTCTACAGCTTAGAAAGATGTCCCATTTTCTTTCAACATCTGTCGGTTCAACCCACTGCATAGCATGCCTGTGTTCTCTAGAGGCTTCCTGACATTTTGCTATAGCTCTCTTAACTTCCTCATCCCACCAACTTTTGGGTTTGTGTCTTCTTTTTCGGGGGTGACTTGTCACGTGCCTTAGCAAGCTCTAGTTCAAAGAGTCTGATTAGATTCGTGTATGTCCACACTGTTTTATTATTTTCAGTGATTACTTTCTCAATTTTTTTAGTAGCTATTTCTAGTTGCCTTTCTACGACGTGCAAATGTGTGCCAGCGCCACCTGGCGGTTTCCTCCCAAGGCGTTATGCGCTAGCCGACGTGTTCATCACACTTCTCTGTTTTAGCCACTGTGGCTGTGTTCCAATTCTTAGACAGCACGTAGATAGTCTACGCAGACTGTTTAGAAGACAGCACTGAGCCCATGCTGTCCAAGAATAAGAACACGTCTGGACGGCTTTACGCGACAATGCGCCACCTCGCATCGAAAAGAAGCCCAAATTAACAAACAGAACAGGTGTATTTTCTGGCTTATTTCGTGTTGAAATATAAAAAAAATTAAATGCTACTCACATTGAGCGTCTGGAAAAGCGTCTACTTGTGTGCAGACGACCATTCCAGCAAGATCAGATCTGTCTGAGCACGGAGAAAGGAAAGGTTCCTTCCTCCGTGCCTTTCCTTCCTCTGTGTCCCTGAGCGATTTGCTGCGCCGCATCTTATTTAGACAGCAAAGTATCCTGCATCGTATTTCTCTACGATGCGGTCTTCTCGGAGCTGTCCATTTTGCCGGCTGCGTGAGAATTCGAATGGGACTTAAGATGGCCACCATCCTTTTAGCTGTCTATTTAGCCATCTACGGTGAGTCTTCGAACACACCCTGTAATTAGTAGAGGTGTGCGTCGAGGCGGTTTCGACCGGCGGCAGCGTGGAGGTCGTTCCGAGTTGGCGGTGTTACAAAAGACGGCGACACCAACACGGTCCTGAAGGCGCCACTGCTTCGAACTCCGCCGGGAAAGTCACCAGCCGTTTGGTAGCGTAGGTTTCTCAGCTCGCGACTGCTTCTGCGCAGAGCTGATAGACGACCGGACGAGACGACTGTGAGTCAAGGCAAGGTACAGCAAAGAAATAGAGGCGTTACAAATTCAGCACTGGGACCGACAGCTTAGAGACTCGAAGAGCCAAGCTCTCTTCTCTGACACATAGGTCTACTGCTCGCAACGCGCCGCAGGGCTTTTTTTATAGGCACTGGGTGGATTCTTTGAGTAACCAAATGCCCAACCAGAAGCGCCGCTGGCCGTGAGGTCAGAATCCTCCAATGGGGCTCGCCGCTGGGCCGCATCATTCTCATCAAATCCGGAGCCGCTGCGGGTGGTTGCAGCCAAGGACGAGTGACGTCGCCACGCATTGCGTAAGCCTTGCCAGACTGCAAGGGGACGATTGCTTCGACGGGCTCGTGGGCTGAGGGGGCTCGCTGTGCCTTGCGCGACAGACCGGCGCCACCGCGTGATGACGCCGTTGAGTTGTTCGCGTCAGGCGGGCTCGCGTGCTGGCCTTGACACAGATTGCTTTTTTCAGAGGCATGGATGTTCGGTGTGGACTCGCAAGCATAACAGCGGGCAAAATGATCGGTGGGGACGCACGGCCACTTTTCGTCGGCAGCGGCAGCGCCGGTGGCGTGGAAACTGAAAGTACAATTTGAAAAAAAAACTACTTTAGCGTGTTTTTCTTTTCAACAGCTAAGTAGGGGCAAGTGGAGCTCGCAGTCTTTGTGCGTAATGTACTGCTTTTTTTTCTGAGTAACAGACAGGTGGGCAATTTATGTAGGTCACAATGGCATATAGTGATTCATGAAACACACGAGAAAGGCACTAATTTGTCTCCCGTGAGGGGACACTGCTCAATGACTTATGATGCAAGCGCTACAATGCAACGAATACAAATAGAGCGAAATAAATATAGGACTACATGCGCTTTTTTCTTTGTTTCCATTTTTAAAGTCTCCATTCTTGTAGGACGCAAAGAGTTGCGGGTGGGGGGTGGGGTGGAGTGCAGTGCTTGAGTCTCATTTGTTTGTGAGACCCCTTTTTATCTATCTACCAGCCCATATTCTCTCCCCCTTTACCCTTTACCAAAACAAAATTTTGAAAGCGAAACAACCTGTCAAACAGATTTGTGTAGATACACACATCTACGAAATGTAAACAAATATTGTCGCTCAGAACGTAGTCAACATTAATTTTGAATCGCATGTCGCCCAACGGCGTTATGTCTTCGTCATTCGGGTAAACAAACAACCACCACCCCGCGTCACAAGTTTTGTATTGGCTGCTCCTGGCCAACCATTGCAAGTGAAAGAGGGGCAGACTTGTACAGGAATACAAAGGCTGGTTTTCGAGCTTTAGCAGCATTTTTTGAAGGGGTCTCGCATATTTACAACGCTGGAGGAGATCACAGGACCACCCACAGAACCTTTGTTGAAAAGACGTCGATGTGGTGATTCACGTGCATGCGGTTTTTTGCGTCCACTCAGCCAGTTAGCTTTGCACGAAAGCCCAGGATTCCTTTCCTCCATGTGTAAACCTCTCTGGGTCCCGCATCACTCGGTGCCCTGTGGAACAAAGACTTACACAATTAACATCGCGCACTCAAGCAAACGAGATTTCCAGCCATGCGTTGAAAAAAAAAAAGCGGCATTTAATGCGTAAGTGCTCCTTTGCTCACAGTCCGAAAAAATAGGGGCTATTTTTCACAGTGCACTGTGATAGGAGATAAGACCCATGTCTTCAACACATGTGTTGAAAATGAGGGTGTTAGGGCCAATTGTTTGACTGGAAGTGGGGATGGTCGTAAATTAAATGCCTGCCGCAAAGGCTTTAGCAACGCCTCATTGCACGAAAAATCCTTTCTTTTCATCTTGCTGTGATATCTCCATGCCTGCCCACTCAGCTTTGTTTTCTGTTTGCCATCTGTGGGTGAGGCGAATTTTGGCTAATCCCACCAGCCTCACAGATCAGTTACTACAGGCTTCCCTTTAAAAGCAACCATACACATACAAAAATGTTTGAAGTCACCTTTCTTGGGCAAGAATAAAGAAATAAGAACAAACATGAAAACTCCAATCAAAATAACCAATCATCCAATCACCACTCGTCAATACAGCGGTGGAAGGGAGAAAATAATAAGCAGACTTCTGCCGAATGCTCACCTCTGAAAAACATCGAAGTGTTTTTATGGTACCTCAGATATGCGCAATGATTGCTTTTTAATTGACAGTCGGACACGTAAGAACGCTTATTCTTGAGCAACATAGGTGGACACTGCGGATGGAGTCAGCCGTTCGGGGTGTCGGTTGATGCTGTTTAGAGTAACCGATTCACGGTAACGGTGGACAAACAGACAAATGTACAGACAGACTGAATTTTTTGCGTTGAAGGTGCCCAAGAAAGACTATCATCTTTAATAATACAGATATCTGTGCTGCACGCCATAAACCCGGAGAATAAAGCTCGTTGCTATGTTTTGTAGCCTGTCTGCATTCTTTGGGGCGTACAAAGAAAGCAAAAACTAAGGTATGAGTAACTTAAGCCTGGGAAAAGCCCGTGTCCTCAAGCTTTCACAGAATGGACTGGGCGAACACAATGACGGGTGAGGAACCGTCGATATATTTTCCGCGTGTCAAACCTGACTATGAATGGAAAGGAGTTTGATTAAGAAAAAAATAAAATACAAAAACCAGGCGCTGCTATGCTGTGTCAGTATGGAGTCCTGAACTGCAGACGGGCTGGAATAATGTTTAGAAGCTCCTCAAATTCTTAGACGGTCACAAAAATGTTTGAGAGCATTGCAGTTTGAAGGAATTTGTTTTTGCCAGTGACTAAGCGTCGCGCACAGCAGGAGCGGTGTGTTAATTCCTGCCTCCTCCCTCCTTGGAATTCACTTGGAAAGCTTTCAACGTATCACATAGCAGGAAATGATATAAAATCTGATAGCATGTGTTGTGACTGCATTTACAAAACTTGAAATTCGTCGAGATGGTGCTTTGCTGTTGGGAACTTTTTTAGTGCAAAACAATACA